GCTTGTTTTGACATATAAAGCCCTAAACGGCTTGGGCCCTGGATACCTGAAGGACCGCCTCCTTCCATATGAGCCTACCTGGCAGTTAAGATCTAGCCAGGGGTCCCTTTTGAAAGAGCCATGCCTTAAGGAGGTAAGAGGGACGGCTTGCAGACAAAGGGCCTTTTCGGCAGCTGCCCCCAGACTATGGAATGCCCTCCCGACTGAGATTCATCTGGCGCTGACGCTGACGCTGATGACATTTCGGCGCCAGGTCAAAACCTTCCTGTTCCAGAAGGCTTTTAACTGAAATAATATTAGCGCGGCTGATGGCAATTTATATATATATTTTAATTGTATTTTAATTGTTCTGAATTGTTATTGTATTTTAAATGTTGTAAGCCGCCCAGAGACCTTTGGGTAGTGTGGGCGGCATATAAATTAAATAAACTAAATAAATAAAATGTGTGTATTTTGTATTTGTCCAGATTACTGTGTTCTCCACCCTCTTCAAAACAGCTTGGCCTGTGAAGCACAGCACTTTCTTGTCTCACCTCAAATGGTGCCTCCCAAGAGTAATTGAATGACAGGATGACATCAACATCTCTTTCTGGCTCAAGCGCTAAGGGAAAGGGAGAATTGATAGAAAAGCCCCCATCCACTAAATATAAGTTCTCTTCCATTGGAGTCAACTGGTTCGGAAAAGCATCTAGGTGGGTACCTGGGGGTGGATGGAAAGAAATATAATGAAACATTTTGATGCTTTTTCTTTAACAATGGTGAAAAGGAGTGACATGTATAACTCAAATAAATCCTAAAATGTTTTAGAACTGAATGTCCTGTACTAAGAGAAGAAAATCCAGTACCTAAATGGATTCCAGAAGGACTTATTTCCCCCCTAGGTGCAGGCTTCACACAGACATTTAAAAACTTTAGACATGATCAAATTCTTCAACTCTTTACCTTTCCAGGCCACAAACTTCTTTAGGCTGACATAATCCTTGTGAAGATGCAAGCCTTGCATGAAATTGAAAGTTTCTCCAGCAGTAACACGAGACTTGAAGAAATCCTGGAAAATTTGTAGCAAAGGTCCACCTGATATAACCATACGTGTTTTCAGCCTCATCGGGTCTCTGAAGTGGAACCGTCGACAGTCATCTACAATCAGGAACCACGCAAAAAAATATCAATGTAGAGAACATGTACTGATTAAGTCTAGCCTATAGCTTGGGGAAATAGAGTATTTCAATCAACATGGTCACTATTTATATTTGGTGACTAAAGATACTTACCAATAACCTTGACAACATCACCCAGAGATTCTAGAAAGCTCAGTCCAGAACCAACCACCTTCAAAAAGACATCATCCAGACTTGCAGCAAACGCGCTGCCCCACATCCCTAGGGTGTAAATAAAGTTTTAAGTCAAACCTAAAAGCTTCCCAAACCTACATTTTTGAACTCAGTGTGCACCTACACTATCAAATACTGCAGCATTTGCTCTGCTTAAAAACTGGTGTATTTGAAATATTTTTTTACATGATGCAAAGGCTCATTCAAATCTATCAGAGGCTTTTTTTCCTCCTTTTTTTCTTTACCATTTGTACCTTCTAGTTTTTTATTCAGAAAGAATTTGAGCAGGGTTTTTCCCACGTGATCAGTTTTACAAGGTGGTGGTGTGTTTGTAGGTGCCAATCCTTCCTCCTTTCTTCTAATTCCATCTCTGGCTTTCCTTTTATGGTTTGTTGTAAAGCAGCTTGGTTTACAAATGCATACATTCCATGCCATCATCTTTCATTTTGTCTTGCTTACTTTTTTCTCTGTTCCCTTTTTTAAAAAATTATATATGTATAGATATATATGTATAGAGGTGATCGAGCACTAAACTCAAAGGAAATTAAAATTAAAATTTAAAAATCAGTCGATGATCAACAAGAAGAGAGAAGGGGAGGGCAAATTCATTGGATCACATCTGCATATATAAAACTTTTTTTAAAAAGAGAACAGAAAAACAACAAGAAAGCAAGATGAAATGGAAGACAATGCCATGGAACATGTGTACAGTCATGCCTTGACTTACGAACGTCCCAACCTACGAACATGTAGAGTTACGAACAGCTCTGTTCGCAAAATTTTGTTTTGACTTGTGAATGGAGCTTTGACTTACGAATGGAATAAAACACGGGGAAGGCGGGAAATCTGAACTTTCTGTTAACCATTGGCCAGCGAAGAGGCTGATTGTCTGCTACCCAGCGGTTAGAGAACGTGGATATGGAAAGAGTCTTCAGACTGCCTGGTACTGTACTGCCTGGTACTGTACTGTACGGACTGTTTTAATTTTTGCTTTTTTATTTTGGGATTTTTTACTTTCTTTTTTAAAACAGAGAGACTGCCTGTTCTGTGTGAGTACACTGTATTTACTGTACAGGGTTTTGCAGCTTGGGGTTCTCCCCCTAGTGGTAGAGGATGGATTGGTAGAGGATGGGTTAACCAGTTTTGCATTAGTTCCTATGGAAACTAATATTTCCACTTACAAACCGTGCCTTGACATAAGAACAAAAAACAGCCGGAACGGATTAATCAGGTTTCAGTGTATTCCTATGGGAAATGCTGATTTGACTTACAAACATTTTGACTTACGAACATCTTCTGGGATGGATTAAGTTCATAAGTCAAGGCACCACTGTATTTGAAAACCAAGCTGCTTTACAACAAATCATAAAAGCAAAGCTAGAGGCAGGACGGACGGACGGACGGACGGACGGAAGGACGGAAGGAAGGAAGGAAGGGCAGATGTAACACCAATTGCAATGCATCCAGTGCAAACACTCATGAAACTTGTGAACTCATTAAATGTTCCACAGCCCCTCTGTAAATATGGATTTTAATTTTAAACACAACACAGGCTTCAAAGCCAAGCCAAGCCAAGCCCTTCTGATTTGACTTTCCAAGATAGTCACACCCTAAGACAAACATAGAAGCAAGGGCATGACTTAGATACTTATCTTGACTCAGTTAATGTCAAACCACAGCTTCTTTGCAACAGAAACTGAGAATGACCACTTAGCCTTACATTTTATACATGGGTATGTTTCCCCCTGTGGAGCTGCAAAGCAACATCACATACATAGTATTATTTAAAAATAGCAAATATGAAGGCTGAAACAAGGTACTGTTTTCAGCTTAAAGTTATGGGTGTCCAAGTTTTGCTTAATTCTGCAGGCCTCCCTTAGGTACAACTTCCTGCCTGATTAGTTTAGAAGACTACATGATCCTTCTTGAACACATATGCATCTTCAGAAAATAAATGAAGATTACAACGAATCAGAGAAATGAGCTATTTCTGGCGGTGGCCAGACTTCTTACAGGGGTGAAAAGGTACCAACGTATTTCCCCCATGCTGGCCGCTTTGCATTGGTTGCCCATTCGTTTCGTGTTAATTTCAAAGTTCTTAGAATGACAAATAAAGCCCTAAATGGTTTAGGACCTCGATATCTGGCAGAGCGCCTTCTCCCACCCAGTTCTGCCAGAGTCACTTGTTCCAGCCAGGCTTGGCAGCTGAGGGGCCTAATGCAGAGGGAGGTCCAGAAGGAAAGAACAAGGAACCGGGCCTGTCTTACCATCGTAAGGTGGCAGTCACTCTTATGCTACAATTGAGAGGCAGCTGGAGGGAAGCACACACTGTGCTTTCTGAATGTATTGAACTTTGTCTTTTACACAGTAAAAATCATACCCTGTAGGTAGCAGATCCTTGGCTCAGGATGTTTCTTAATCAGATGTCCCATGAAAAACTCACTGTCAAAGTCTTCTGTTCGAATAAAAGCACCATACTTGCGGAATCCAACCTCAAAGGGAGTAAATTCACACCATTCTAAAAAGACAAATTCCATCACCACACAGGAAAACTAGGTTGGTGTGAGCAACCTCCCTTATGACCTCCCATTGTCATTTACCATTGTCTCTGCTGGCCAAGGTTGATGGGAACTGCAGTCCAACACCACCTGGAGGGCTACACGTTCTCCAATCCTACTTGACATGAACAAACATTACTTTTACTGTATCTTTAAAACCGCTTCCTTTCCTTGAAATTCATTTGTAATGTATTTTAGATTTGTACTTATGTCATTTGTAGATATGTATAATTTATGGGTTTACATTTATGACACCAGATATTTGTAATTTGACATTTTTAACTGTGTGGTTTTTATTTATGTTGTTAACTTCCCTGAACCTCTCTGAACAAGGGTACAGGGATGTAAATAATTATATTCCCATTCAACTGAATTGTTGTAAATGCTCGTTCCAGAAAGGATACTGTGCTGCCAAACTCAGAAATATAAAACAGAATAAATAATATGGGCTAAGCTCTAAAACAGAGAATGCCCTGGCGTATGTGACCTTGTTCTCTACTATCTCCCACCAGGTCCTGTCTTTCTGCCTCCTAGCTACCTTATTATTTTTCAGCACCAATGAATCTCCATCTCAATCTTTTCATTTTACTCTTCTTCATGATAGCAGTAGGAACAGGGCCACCTGTTGGTGGAAAAGGTCCATGCCTAATAGATAATAATTAGATCAGTGTAATTTACCGGTTAGTTAAATGAGAAAGAGACCTGCCTTATTATACCTGCAAAGTCGTCACCACTAACATTGGGCCTCACATTAATAGCTGCATAGATGGGGTAGGGATTCTGCCCATGCTTCACAGCTTCCTGCTGATCAGACAATTTGGATTGGTCTTCCTGAAAGGAGGAGAGAATGCATAGGATTCAGTGAAATTACATTTCATTCTCAATACAAATATGTCTTACACACATAAACGGACACACACACACACACACACATTCTAATATTGGTACACAACATGCCTACAAATAAGCTGTTCAATCTATGGCCCCAAGGTCATCAGATCGCCAGCAAGATAAGAATAATTTGTGAACCTATATCATGATTTTTAAAAAATAGCTATATGATTTATTCTACCACATTCTAGCTGAAATCCTGTTGCTTAATGTAAGAAAATTAGTAACTTTCTGCTCATATCTAACCAGGAAATATAAGGTCCCTGACATGATTCTCTAGGGTGCAAGCCAGTCTACACCTACACTCCAATTACTGCATCTGGGACACTTAATTTCCAACTAGGAGTGGACTGAACATTAAGAATTTTCTTATGTTAAGCAGCAGTTTTCAGCCTATGTGTTACTGTTAAACAGTGATAAGCTAACCTGTAAGTAAAAATATGTTTACAATTATATATGACATTATTTATTTTGTTTATTGCATTTATATGCTGCCCATCTAGACATAGTCTACTCTGGGCGGCTCAGATGTAATTATACGTAATTACATAATACAATTGAGTTTTCCCCATTTTCCTAACTGGTGAGAAGGTTTGAGGGGCAGCGTGAACCAGTTTGGTTTCTCTTAGATAAAACAACACCAGAGTCTTAGCAGTATTTTTAAACATTTGTTCTGTTGGTCTACCCTGTTTCCCTGAAAATAAGACCTAACCCAAAAATAAGTCCTAGTAGGATTTTTCAGGATCCTCATAATATAAGCCCTGCCCCCAAAATAAGCCCCAGTTAAGTGAAACCCTACCCTCCACCATTGTGCAGCAACCAGAAGATGACATGACTGTATTTGAATAAATGTAGATTGTTGTACACGAAAAAAATCATCCCCTGAAAACAAGCCCTAATAAATTTTTTGGAGCAAAAATTAATATAAGACCCTCTCTTATTTTAGGGGAAACACAGTATTTATAAATAGTGCACATCACAAGCAGATAAACAATGCTCGAATGGACAAATTCCAAAAACAGAGTTCCATAGAAGTGGCATAAAATCTACAAGCTTATTAGGAAAGACTAAAATTAAACGTATGTAGGCTGCTTCCAAAGCCCTTTTTTTCACTGAGGGGTGATATAATGATGCTCTAAATAACTAAACAAACACACATTCCCTGATTGGTTTTAGAATGCTCAGAGACAAGCCTTGAACACATTTAAAAGCTACATGCATGTCTACAGACAGACCACACAAGAGGACTTTCTCTCACACTTACTCCACCTACAAAAATGTTTGTCTGCCAATGAACAGCTCATTCAAGGAAACGTTCATGGTCACTATCAAATGTTACTCCCCCCCACAATCCCTTCCACTCATTCAACAGTCCTTTAGTCCTCCTGTGAACTTGCACTAGTTCAGAGGGATAAAGTCAGCCAGATGCACAATATAATTAGCCTATATTTTTCATTTAAACCCTTTCAGGCAGGTTTGCAATAGTCAAATACAGTACTTGGTTCTACAGCTATGGAAGACCTGCCTGGTACTTCTTGCTGTTCAACTGATATGTTTTATGAGAAATTAGCAATCAAACAAACAGTGATGAGGCCAGCCACATTATTGTTGTGTACCCTACACACAAATTCATGTGGTGTAACAATAGACCAATATTAAGATAGGAAGCTAATAGATTAAAGGATTCAGTCTCCTTTTCTACACACTTCTTGCTTGATATGTTTTTGTTATAACTTGTATCGTTTTACACAAGTATCTAACTGTGTTCCTCCACTCACAAAAGGATCTTTTATAAATGGCAGAAGAAGGAAAGCAATTTTTGCAGACTTTTTCTCTTGCAATCTCTTGCATTATGCACCCCATGTTTCCAAAGAACTCCCCAACCCTTTGGAGCTGGTATGGAGAGGGGAACAAGAGGCTACAGAAATAATGAGAGCCACCCAGGGAAAATCACTCCTTCTGCCCTTCTATACGTATGAAATCCTTCATTAGACTGAATAGCCTTCTGTGGCCAGAAGGACATAAGTGGAATACTACTTTTGACAATAAAATACACATTCCTAATCCATTATTAATATTAAACCCTTTAAAATGTAGGTCATTTTAATAGCAAAGATAAGCACATGCTTAATTCCTTTGCAGAAACTAAAGGAACATAAAGTTGGGCAAAAATGAAAGAAGAATAAAAAATAAAGAAGACAAAAATGTGGTGGCACCTCAAAGTCTAACGGCTCTATTTTAATGTGAGCTTTTGTGGACAAGGGCACTTCTTCAAAAGTGGAATATAAAAGTGCCCTGGTATTGATTGTGACACAACACAAGGCATCCTTCAGTCTCGAAAGACTATGATATCGTGCTCTGTATGGAGGACTTGGAACAGCGTCTAGTGTGGCTGAGAAGGCCAATTCGAGAGTGACAGTCCCTTCCACACTGAAGACAAATCCAGTCTGTCCCCTGTCCGGCTCCCTGGTTTTGCTGCTTTTGTGACTTCCTCTTTGCCTCGGCCTGCTGGATAAGGGTCTCTTCAAATTGGGAGAGGCTGTGATGCAGTGCCTGCCTCCAGGCTGGACGCTCAGATGTCAGGGTTTCCCATCTGTTGAGGTCTATTTCTAAGGCCTTCAGATCTCGCTTGCAGATGTCCTTGTATCGCAGCTGTGGTCTCCCTCTGGGGCGATTTCCCTGCACTAATTCTCCATACAGGAGGTCCTTTGGAATCCGACCATCAGCCATTCTCACGACGTGCCCAAGCCAACATAGACGTCGCTGTTTCAGTGATGTATTCATGCTGAAAATTCCAGCTCGTTCTAGGACTACTCTGTTTGGAACTTTGTCCTGCCAGGTGATACCAAAAATCCGTCGGAGGCAACGCATATGAAAGGTGTTCAGCTTCCTCTCCTGCTGTGCACAAAGGGTCCAGGACTCACTGCAGTACAGGAGTGAGCTCAGGACGCAGAGTCTATAGACCTGGATCTTCCTATTGATTGTGTCCTATTGATTGTGCTCTCTGTGTAATATTGCACAGAACTAGGGAGTGGAAGGAAGGGGGATTAGGAACTGACAAAGGGGAATTAGCAATATTAAAAATTAGCAAATATTAAAAATTAGCAATATTAAAAATTAGCAAATTATGCTAATTTGTATAATATTAATAATCTGTTCAATGACCAGGTTTTTAAAAAAAAAATTAATGGAACTCGTTTGTTTCAGGACTTCCCTACTATGCAGGACACTACAAAGCATTTGCATATATCTAACAAGGACAAATTCAAAGTAGTATCAGAAGCTGAGGATTCTTATCAGATGGACCATTTATTTTCATTAAAGTACCAGGTTTGGCACCAATCCTAATAGAAATTCCCCTCAAAACCCTCTCAACAAGATTTCTCTCATCACATTTCAAAACATTTTTTCATGTGTTGTCCTATCTTTAGTCCTTCAAAAGCCCTTATTTTTGTACCACTTTGTACTGGAAATGACTTTAGTGTTACAGCACTTCTGTAGCATTAGAATTAACACTTTAAAGAAACAAACACCCCCTACTTCCCCCACTTCCTTTTTTCTGGTTTGTTCCCATTGGAAGGGTTTAATAGGCAAGTGGAACCTAAGAACAAGAAATGAGTGAAAGGACATCTTAAGCAATGGAGCCAATACCAGAGAAATTACTGAGTCTTCTCTCTGCATTCTTGGGCGCAAGGCCTTAGCATTCGCCAGGAGAGGCTGCTCCATGGAGTGTGTTTGACAGGCCTTGAATAATAAGCTACAGGCATTTCCTCAGGGCATGGCAACCAAGTAAGCCCTCTTGGAAGGAAAGTATAGCAGGGATTTTTGTTCCGAAACAGTGACACACTTTAACAATAGTTATGACACATTTCTGGCAAATCAAGTGATTTTCTTTTTCAGCACCATGTGTCAAAAAGGAAGGACACTGTGGTTTATCAGTGTTCAACAGGAGTGTGTAGAAGAAGGCAGTCCAAATGCTCAGTCTGGAAAAGCCCTGTGTTTTTCTTTAAAAAAATTAAATAACAATGTATTTTTCACTTTTGTAACTCTGTACCTTCTGCTGCAGGAAGTATTCTACAATGAGTCCCCACAGGTCTGTGAAAGACACATTTCGTCCAGCATTCTCCATTGCATTCAGTTCTTGGAAGTAATACTTCAGCCTCTCTGAAGTAAAAGCTCCTACTTTACTGCAGGACACTTTCTCCTGGCCGTTTTTGATGGCACCTCTGAGATCTTTACACGACCATTCAGAATCTTGATATAACATTGACATGGACCTAAAAAAAATTCCAGACATTACAGACTAAATTTTTTAAGTCAAGTTCAAGCAAAGCATACTTCCACTACCACTGCACTGAACTAATAACCATACATTTAAGAAAGCATGAGAAATAAAGACTCCATACTTAATTGGGCAGGGCTTCTTCCAGAATTAACACTCAAAAGTAGAAAGATTAATACAATGATGAAATTAATTCGTTCCACGAGTCGTGTTGTATTGCAAAAATTTCATCTTGCAAAGGACGGTACTAACGGTTGTGCGATTTAAAACAAACCCCCAAAAAGGAAAAACATTCATCTTGCAAAGCACGGCCATGGAAAAGTTCATTTTGCGAGTCACCAAAAAAATTGCAAAATGCTTTCATCTTGACAGTTTTTCATTGTGTGAGGCATTCGTCTTGTGAGGCATCACTGTACTCTCATTATTAAATTATTCATCACGCTCAATCTGGTGTGGTAGCTCTGACAATTCAACTGAATATCCTGTTTTGAATACTTATTTAAAAAGTACAGTTTCCTAGTCAACAATAATTGGATTTTTTTTGACAAAGCAAGATATTCTACTAGGATGGAAAATAATTTTTCTTTAAAAAAATCCAAGATTATTAGTTTCTCACAATAATACTTACACACACCCACACACACAGCAATCGCTTTTCAAGATAAGGAATAAGAGCACCTACCATGTAGATCCAGAGACACCACAGAGGTATGTAGAGCAATCCAGAAGATTTAACTGCTGAAGCCCCCACAGGCTGCCAGAAAATCCTGTCAATGCTCTCATCCCTCCACCAGATCCCAGGACTGCAACAACAGGAACCTTTACAAATGACAGGAACAAAATCCACATAAGAAAAAATTTTTCATTGTGTGAGGTTACTTACATACATATATGTTACTAATCATGACTGAGGTTTGGAGTAATTTTTTATAAAAATTATATTATTTTTTAAAAAATCACCAACACAAAGACATGATATACTGTATATAAAATGGAAGGAGTTAGGACTCATTACTAATGACTTCATACACCTCACTTTGAATGCTAACCAGTCACATACCTCATCTTTACTAGGATCCTCTCTCAGTTTGAGAATCTTTTTTAGTGCCTGAGATACTATTTGTTTCCTCTTCTCCAAAAACTCTCGCTCTTCTTTACACAGATCAAAACCAAGACGTACATCAAGGTCTTTTATCCTAGATTAGAGAAAATTTTGGAAAGAAAAAAAATTATAAGCATATATGCCTTAATTTCAATAGCAATGTTACTTTTGTGGCAGTTTTAAGACTAACATTTATTTCATTGTGAGGTTTCACGGATTACAATAGGCTACAACTGTAGAATCTAGTGCACTTGATTATGGGCGTGGGGACCAAGTGAAATGGGATACATGCACATGTGATGAACATTTAAAGTGACAACAGCACAACTCTCAAAATTATCATTACAAAAAAATCCTAATGGAAAGTAATTAGATCACATACATTTTCTGGGAGCTGGTAGATAGTTTTTAGGCTGTCTTTGAAATATCAATACAGTAACTTTACTTTCCAAAAAGAATTGGTTCTGCTGAGGCCAGATACTTGCTAAAGAAAATTACATTTTGACTATATGCAGAACTGTAGAAAAAAACAGTTCATTAATATATGATGTACTAACAAGTCCCAGCCTTTATTTAAGCCTCTAGATGAATAGCGGAATTTGTGTACTGCTACTGATGGGATTGAACTGAACACTTCAGTGGTCTCCCTCTCAAATCTCCTTTTGTTTTTCTACAGTAACCACTTTTCAATCAGAATTATTACATTATTTTAATACATGGTTTTTCTTTTGTTAATATTTCTGTATATGACCAAACTTTAAAAAAAAAAACAGCTCCTAATGATGTGTGCAGTATTTTAGATATTAGGTCTTTCAATAACAGCATCTGTTGCTCAACATATAGCGCTCTAAGAATTAAGATTGCTCACTGGCTATTTCAGTGAGTTAGGTATCTAGCTGCAAAGACGGTATAGCCTTGGGCATCCTGCACAGTCCCAGATTACCTTGAGAAGAAGGGAATGATAAACCACCTCTGATCAGAAATGACTAGAAAACTCTGGAAAGAGTCACCATAAATCAGAAATGACTAGGTGGCACGTAAAGCCAGTACAGAACTAATACTGGATCGCTGAGATTAAAGTAGCATAAGGCATGGCAAGTCATAAAATGTTAATGGAAACAAGTGCTCTGTTTTGCATACCCAGAATCTCTGGATAGTAAAACAAAATGTCAGTGAAAATCAAAACAGATTTGAGTAGTTACAAGGGAAAAATAAGGCTTTTTAAAGTCCATATGATTTCAGTGCCTTGATACAAGGAAATCAAATGTATAAAAATGGATGAAAACCACACACAGTGTGTTATTAATGAATATGCACCTGGAGCACTCTCTGACGACATCTATATTTTTGTAGATTCTGAAAGCCAAAACTACAAGCTACATAATGGCTTGGTTCTTTTATATTAGATGGTTGCACAGGGAGAGTACCAGCACTCGGATTGCACTGGCTCTTCATCCAGACATATATGTATTTTCTTTGGCTTGCAGCTATAAAACCAGTAAAACAAATCATGTTGTCTTTCTAGAATAGCCTCTAGATGCAATCTTGATTTTAAGCACAAAATCACCAATATTTGCAGATAAATATAACTCACATTTGTTCAGCTTTCAGCTGCAGATCGATATTTAGCCCCTAAAAGACACAGACACTGGAATAAACTGCATGAAAAAAAACTAGATTTCTTAATTAATGTTATTGTTCACTAAATAGTGAAATTTATATTCCTTTCTGGTCATTAGACCCTCCATCCCGCCACCTCATCATTCAGTATGCAAACCCTTACTTTGACCCTGCTTTACAAAATTCCTACTCATACAGCAAAGAAAGTTATGAAGTATTAGGAACTTGGAGCCCATGTCTGTCAGGAATTTCCAAGAACTGTAATAGAAGAAATTGACATCCTAAACAGAACGTAGAAAGGAAGTTATTAATCAGCCATATTGTACAGCTTTGTATAAAACTGAGAGTAGGCAGAAGGCTGATGTAATTCTTATGAGATCACCTAGGATGAGGTCATGTTACCTGATTGGTCACATGTACTTTACAGTGTACATAAGAACATAGATGTATGGCGGAGAGTTGTACAGTTGCTAGAGGACATGCTGCTGGAGTATTCTGTAAAGACTGTACATATATAGTATAAGCTTTAAAGAAGAAGCTGTTGTCTAGAGTTTTTTCTCTCTGCCAGGCCCTTGGATGCTGGTTGTACCCATTTTCTTCAGCGCACCCCAAGAAATACTTGACAATGTCTACAAGCAATCTCACCATCTTAAGTGCTTAAGTGCACAAACATTTTTCAAAAGGCCAGCAAACAGACCTAGGAAACATATGTGTGTGCAGGGCATATGCACAGATGCACGCACAAACATGTATGATATTGTTTGGTGAAGGGGAACTTAGAAGAAAATATAGTAACTGAAAATCTAAAGTCAAGACTGCAAAATATGTGGCTTACCAAATTAAATGTAACTCATTAGACAGGCTTCAGAGTTGAATAATGATTTTGTACATGAGTCTGCCATACTACAATTGATTGGTAGCATGGTACAAAGTAGTACAAATCTACTTTGAATAAGCAAAACCCTTCTGCTTTGAGCTTTACAAAAATCCACACCTTTCTCAGGTCTGCCAAAAACCGCTACTCCAGAGAGGCTGCTTTGGTTCACAATCCTGTCCAGTACCACAATTTCTGAAATGAGACGTAGATGACCCTAACTACACCCTATTAGTATTAACTTGGCCGTATCTTAGGAGTACTGATATCTAAGAGATAAACTTTATAAGAACAACTACCAACAGAACCCATCAGAAAGTGCTATATTGATACCCAAAACGAGTATTACCTTTCCAAGTGGAAGAATCATATTAGTTTCCTTTCCCAGAGGAAGTGACTGAACAGGAACAGCTCCTGAGCCAAGAACTGTGCTATGCTCTTCAACATCAGGACTCACTCCATCCTGGAAAAAAACAGACAATACTTCCTAAGCAGGGCAAGTTTGTAAAACGTTTGAGAAAAGGAGCACGTAGCAATTTCTCACCTGAAGAACTGTAATTGTTCTCTCCAACTCCACACCCAATTCTGAACATATCTCTTTGCCAACATGAAAAACAAACGGAACCTCATCATTCTGGTTAGAATCTGGCTTGCAGGGGACATGTAACTGTTTTTCACATGATCCTGGAAGTGAAAGCTTGAACTCACTGCTTCCTAAAGATGACAGTTGGGATGCAAATTGTTTGGAGCAAAACAGAACAGAATATAAATATAAAATTACAGAGCAGTCAAAGCATAAATAGCAAAAGGTCTACACCATGAATTAAATCTTAACCACTCTTTAACTGACATTAATAGACTGAAATGTTCACTTTGGTTGAAATAAATGGAAAGCTATATTCAAGGAAGACTAAAGATTAAAGTCTATATTCTCCTACAGTTTACGTTTTTAGGAGAACGTGCAGCAGATCTTGTTATTCAACAAAACTGTCTGAGCAACACTGATACTGTTGTCCCTATATTGTGGCAGATGTTCTTACTACTTCAAAAAATAGGTATATTAAAAAGCAAAATAAATAGAAAGAATTAAATCTAAGTCTCCATCAAGATCCCCAACTCAGTGGATGCCAATGAAGGTGCAAGCTTTTACTCACTCATCCCTCTCCTTCCTCGATCCACTCTTATAAAAGCTCCACATTACTGAAGAGCTAAACATACTCCATCCTGATATACAATTTATGACAACAGATCAATTATTCCTCATTCCATTGGTGTTTTTGAAAATCAACTGTCACTTCAGATACATTTTACACGGAATACAGTGTTCCTCCCTTCCACGAATTCAGTGAATGCCCCTATCAAATCCCACACATCGTTGTAGCTATTTTGAAATCATGGGGATGGGAAGGAACAGAACAACAAAGCAGACCTGACCTTGTTCTCTTAGCTTTGACTTTTCATCTTGTTTGATCACCCCTTGCAAGGAAAGACAAGGATAAGCCTATTGTGAAGTGACAAAAATGACAGGTGTTAAATATAATTTTTGGCAGGAAATAAATTCTTGCACAGTGAAAATAAAGAAACATTATTTAGACAGCCATGTTTTGGAACTCAACATTACAACCAGTTATCATTGCTTAGGTAACTGATACTAAAAAGGGGGCAAAATGATCTAGATAGAAAAGCTTGGTCAATAATAAAATCATAACTAGAAAAAGGAGTAGGTAACTGATACTAAAAAGGGGGCAAAAATTATCTAGATAGAATACCAACAGCTTGGTCAATAATAAAATAATTAGGCTGGACAGTGTCTGTGAAGCAATCAACATGAATTTGACCCAACTCCGGGAAGCAGTGGAAGATAGGAGGGCCTGGCGTGCTCTGGTCCACGGGATCACAAAGAGTCAGACACGACTAAACAACGACGATGAGAAAAAAAACAGGATATAATAGCTTTTTCATTGTAATTCTCAGAGCACATTTTTCCTTCCTAGCAGAAAGTACCTGAATTTACCAGAAAGCATTAGAGACCTCATGGGAGATGGAACTATGTCATGGCACTAGAGTATAATAGCTTTTTCATTGTAATTCTCAGAGCACATTTTTCCTTCCTAGCAGAAAGTACCTGAATTTACCAGAAAGCATTAGAGACCTCATGGAAGTATGTCATGGCACTAGAGTTAGTCATGTCATTATGCAGTACCATAAACAAAAAGAACTTGTTCTTGGAACATGCAAGGGAAGTGTAAATATATCAGGGGATAAGTAGTCAGTGGTACTAGCAATTATGTTGCTGATCACTCACAGTTAATAACTAATCAGGTTCACTGGAGAAATTTTAAGTTGGAAACCAGGCAGGGTTTCTCTCTATTTTTCTTCAGCTATGAAGTGGGGAGGGAGGATCAAGCAAGACACTGTGTCCTCCACCGGACAATGGTCGACCAGGATCCCACAAGGCCATGTGGCTGTGAGTAAATTGGGGATGATATAATTGGATGTGTGGAGGATATTTGTTTATTGGTTAGCTGTTCATGATGCCTGTATGTGCTTCGTTTAATCAGGTTTTGCCTGATTTGCTTTGTTTTGCCTAGGGAAGAAGCTCAATGATAAGCTTTATGCCTTTCTATTGTATTTTTTCCCTTTAATGCATTGTAGCCCTTCTTTGTCTTAGTGATGCCTGTATGTGCTTCGTTTAATCAGGTTTTGCCTGATTTGCTTTGTTTTGCCTAGGGAAGAAGCTCAATGATAAGCTTTATGCCTTTCTATTGTATTTTTCCCTTTAATGCATTGTACTGTAGCTCTTCTTTCTCTTAGTATGTAATAAAACCTAACATTTTCTTAGACAAAATCCAGTCTGCCCAGTGCCTTTTCTGTTCTGAATGTTTATCAGAGACTACCCTAATAGCAAGGTGTTAAGGCTTAGATATTTTGTAAATTGAGACTCTTCATCTCAAGCCTGTTAATGGGAGAAGATGGATAAGGGGCTGATGGCTGTAAGGTCCTCTATCTTTTCTCCAAAGAGTGGACCAAGGAAAATACTTTTACAAGGTTAACTTTTAATCTCCTAGATATACATATGGCAGTAAAGTTAATTACTGCTGGAAAAAGAATATTAGAAGAAAGTATTTTATGGAACATGCCACCACAGTAATGGCTAACATACTGGAGGACATTAAAAGATTTGAGAAATGTATGGATAAAACTATAGCTACCAGCCATGACATCTCCTGTATAAGAGACAGTATGAGCTCTTAATATCAGTTGCTATAGAAAAGAAGTGGGAGGTTGCCATTTTATTCTTCTAGTAGACTTCATGTAAGTATTTGATCAGTGAATGTGGGAATGAGACAGATTTAGATCTTCTGTTTGATCTAACAAACAGACCCATGCTGCAACAGACCAAAAATGCCTTGATTTTGAAAAGCCTCTTGAGATGACACGATGAACAAGAATTTCCAAAGAACAAATACTCACCACAAGGACTCCATTTGTGATAACTTCACCAGGAGCATCTGAACTATAAGGATAAAATAATACCATGAACAATTATGTACATTTATTTAACATGTACTGTTCTGACCATCTTTGAACTCTTTAATTCTTAGGTCAGCTCTGATGCAGCACATGATATATCACAGGAGAAGATTAAAGCTTGAAAGAGCACAATAGAGCCCAGATTTGAGAGCGGGGGGTGGGGGTGGGAGAGGCTCACTCCTTCCATTTGGAAAGATCCCACACAGTCTTCAACCACAGATGGGAGAAGGAACTGGAGTGTACAGTTCATCTTCCCTCAGACAGTCTAGCCTGCATCTAATTGGTGTCCAAATAATATTTACATACCAAGTTTTGGCTAATTACAAGATGTGGGGTGTGTCTCGGTTGCATGCTTGGTTATCGACCTGATTTTGCAACCATGCTGTGTCCCAACACCTCACTAATTAGCAGTAGCAAGTTACATAAACAGTTGTTGTGGGTTTTTCAGGCTCTTTGGCTGTGTTCTGAAGGTTGTACTTCCGGACGTTTCGCCAG